TCATTTAAGTCGGCTCTATTTTCTAGCTCTTTTCGATTCTATTCGTATCCTAATTTTTTCCTAGTTTCTCAAGCTGTTGATGGTTATAACTATTGCATTGTTAATGTATGAAATATTTTTTCCTCTTTTTTGCTGTGTTTAAAAAACACAAAATTGTCCTCTTAACAAAATTTTAAGTGTACGTGTTAACTGTAAGCCTATTGTTATACAGTAGACCTATATAAAACTTTCTCATTTTGCATGATTGAAGCTTTCTACCTATTAAATAGCATCTCCTGATTTGCCTATCCTCCTTGTGAATAGCAACCACCATTGTACTTTCTGCTTTGATGGATTTAACTTTAAATATTTCATGTAAGTGGAGTTGGGAATATCTGCTCTGGGACATTCTTACTTCATTTTGCATACTACTTCAAAATTCATCTGTGTTGTAGAATATTATAGATCGTTCTTTTTCACATTTGAATAATATTCCATTATTTATATATATACATATATATATATATATATATATACCCCTTTTTTATTCACCAATGGACATATGCATTGTCCCCATCTTTTGGCAATTATCAGTGCAGCAGTGAACATGGACTGTGTATATATCTCTTGATTTCAACTCTCTTGGATAGCAAAAAGTGAGATCATTGGATTCTATGGTAATTGTATTCTAATTTTCAGAAAACTTTGATACCATTTTCTATTCCCAACAATATACAAAGGTCCCAATTTCTCCATATTGTCAGTACTTATTACTTTCTGGTTTTTTGATAATTCCTTTCTTACAAGTATGAAATTATACCTCGTGATTTTGTTTTGAGAGACAGAGACAGAGAAAGTTCCCATCCACTGTTTTACTTCCCATATGATCACAGTGACTGGGAATGGCCTGAGCCGAATGCAGATACTGAGAACTCAATCCAGGTCTCTCATATGGGAAACAGGAACAAAACTACTTAAACCATCCCTGCTGCCTCCCAGAATCTATAATATCAGGAAACTGGAATCATATGCCAGCAGCAGCATTTTGATGTGAGATGTGGATATCCTAACCAGCACCTTAACTACTAGCCCAAACATCCTCCTTCCCATTGTGGTTTTGATTTGCATTTTCCTGGTGATTGGTACTTCTGAGCATCTTTTCAATTTTATAGAAAAATGTCTATCAAAGTGTTTTGCCCATACTCTAATAAGGTGATTTAGTTTTGCTGGTAAGTTAAATGAGTTCCTTAGGTTTTTCAGATATTAATGCCTTAAATATTTTTCTCCTGTTTTTTAAGTTTTCTTTTCACTCTATTGTTTCCTTGACTATGCAAAACTCTAGTTTTATGTCCCTCTTGTCTGTTTCTGCTTTTGCTGCATGTGCTTTTGGTGTGATGTCCAAGAAATCATTGATAAAACCAATGTCAAAAAGCTTCTACTCTATATTTTCTTCTAGGAGTTTCAACATTTCAGGTCTTAAGTCTTTCATCTATTTTTAGTTGATTTATGTATGTGATCTAAGGTAAGGGTTCAATTTCATTATTTTGTATATGACTGCCTATCTCTTCATGCTTTGTGGAGACTATTTTCCCCAACGTGTGTTTTTAGCATACTTCTATAATATCTCCTAATTGTAGAAATGTTTTTGAAATAAGGCATTGTGAGGCCTGTAATATTGTTCTTAAGATTTTTTTCTTTGGTTTTTGAGATAATTTTCAGTTTCTTTTGAATTTTGGCATTTTTTTCCACTTTTGTGAAAAAACAAAGTCTCCGGGATGTTGCTAGACATATCATTGAAGCAATAAATCATTTTGAATAGTATTACTATCTTAACAATATTAAATCTTCCAAGCCAGGAACAGAGTATCTTACCATTTAATTTGTGTTACTTTTAATTTCCTTCGACATTATTTATTTTTCAGTATACAAATATTTCAACTTTTTAGGTACATTTCTCAGCATTTTTTTTCTTTTCAGTGCTATTACAAATGAGATTGTTTTCTTAACTTCCTCTTGGTAGTAATCATTACTAGTATATATAAATGCAAATGATTTTTCTGTTAAGTTCGTATTAAACAACTTAATTGAACTTGTTAATAGATTTAACATTTTTTGTTTGCCCCTTATGGCTTCCTGTATGTGTGATGGTTTCATATATGAATAGATATAATTACCCTTATTCTTTCATATTTTGGATGCATACCTCTCTCTCTCTCTCTCTCTCTCTTTCTCTTAATTCCTATGGCTAAAACACCCAGTACTGTGTTGCATGGACATGGCAACAAGAGTAGCCATCTGCTTTTTGATATCACAGGAAAAGTTTTAGGTTTTCACCATTTAATATTTTCTTGATTGTGGGCTTTCCATATATAGTATTATGTTGAGGGAATTTTATTGAGTTGCTAGTTTGTTAGGTTTTAAATATTTACTTTTTGAAAGACAGAGTTACAGAGAGGAAGAGAGAAGAAGCAGAGATGTTTTATCCTCTGCTTCACTTCCAAAGTGGCCACAATAGCCACGATTAGGGCTGGCCAACGCCAGGATCTGGGAACCAGGAGCTTCTGCCAGGTCTCCCATATTACTAAAGGACTGAAGCATGTAGGCCATCTGCTGCTTTCCTGGGCACATTATCTGGGAGTTGGATCAAAAGTGGAACAGCTAAGACCAGAACTAGTGGTCTTGTGGGATGCTGACATTAGAGGCAGCAACTTAACCAGTTAGGCCACAATACCAGCCCTTGTTGAGTGGTTTTAATGCAGTATAGTGGTGAGCTCGGCAAACCTGTCTCCCTGCCTGCCCACCTGGGCAATGTTAGTAGAGCTTGTCTGCTTTTGTGCTGGTCTTATTGTTCTGGAACACGGCCTGCCCAGGTGTAGGGGACAAGTGTGTGTTCATGGAGTGATAGGGACATCGGCGCTGTCACCGTGGCAGAGAAGGCCGAGACTGGGGATAAATGCAAAAGCCTCAGGTACGACGGAGTTGGGCCCCTGGGGATGGCCTGCTAAAAGTGGGGAGCGGCATATTGGAGCAGAACCCACACTATCCTCCCCAGCACTCCGGCGCTTGGACTGCATTTGTTGAAATGATTCTGTAAAAAATGTATCACATTGGGCAGAGCACAATAGCCTAATGGCTAAAACCCTCACCTTGCATGTACTGGGATCCTATAAGTCCACCGGTTTGTATCCCGGCTGCTCCACTTTCCATCTAGCTCCCTGTTTGTGGCCTGGAAAAACAGTCGAGTATGGCCCCGGGACCTTGAGACCATGCAACTGTGTGGGAGACCCATAAGAAGCTCCTGACCCCTGGCTTCGGGTTGGCTCAGCTCTGGGCGATGAGGCCACTTTGGGAGTGAACCATGGGTGGAAGATCTTTCTGTCTTTCCTTTTCTGTGTATATCTGACTTTCCAATAAGAATAAATAAGTCTTTAAACATTTATTTATTTTTACTTGAAAGTCAGAGTTACAGAGATAGAAGGAGACACGGAAAGAGAAATCTTAACATCAACTGGTTCACTCCCCAAATGGTCCCAAAGGCCAGAACTGAGCCAGTCCAAAGCTGGCAGGCAACCAAGAGCTTCTTCCAGGTCTCCTACATTGTTGAAGAGTCCCAAGAACTTGGGCCATCTTCCATTGTTTTCCCAGGCCATTTGCAGAGAACTATATTGGAAGTGGAACAGCCAGGACCAGAATCAACACCCATATGAGATGCTGGCACAAGAGGCAGAGGATTAGCTTGTTGTGCCACCATGCCAGTCCCACTTTTTTTTTATTTCTTAATGATTCAGTCATGATACTTTTTAAAAATGTCTGTGAATTTAATCTATTTCTTATATGTATATATAGGCAATTATAAATATATTTATATATGTATGATTTATTGATGCATAATTGTTCATATGTTTTCTTATTTATATAGCATTGATTTTAATATCTCCTTTTTCTGAAGATTTTTCAAACCTTCTCAATCTAGCTAAAATGTTATCAGTTTTTCATCTTTTCAAAAATGCAACTCAATTTTGTTGACTATTCTGTTGTTTTTATATTCCCTACTCCATTTATTTCTATTCTAATCTTTTATTATTTTAATCTAGCTAAAAACTTTGATTTTACTTAATTCTTTTTTTCTTTTTTCCTACTTTGAGGAATGTGGTAAGGTTGTTGTTTTTTTCTTGATCTTTATTTTTTAGCATATTTATTTATTACTCTAAAAAATCCCCCTTTAATATTGCTTTTGCTGCATGCAGTAGGATTTGGTATGTAGCATTTTAATTTTTCTCAAGATATTTCTTATTACCCCTTTGATTTCTTTTTTGACCCATCAGTTATATAATGTGTGTTATTTATTTTCCATATACTTTTGATTTTCCAGTTTTCTTTGTTGATTCCTAGTTTCAGTCCCTTGGGGTCAAAAAAGACATCTAGCTTTATTTCATTCTTTTCCAATTTCCTTAAACTCATTTAGTGACTTAGTGAAAGCTGTCTCATGCATGCCTAAGAAGAATGTATGTTCTGTTGCTGTTGAATTCGCCTGATAGCATATTGCAGGAAAGAATATACAAAGTTCTAATTGACTTTTAAACAATTTTCAACCTACTGTAACCCCATCCCTTCATAGCCATTTTCAGAGGTACCTGAAGTTACCAGGTTATGAACTAATTGAAGATTCTTGAGTGGAGACTGAGTGGCTTCTTGGTTTTCCCCTCTACTGGTTAAAGATTTAGCTTTCTTGAATAAAGTAGGTTGTTTCTTGTATATCATTGTTCTTCAACTTTCAGAATATTTTTGGTATTGCCAATTTCTCATATTCTCACTGGCCTTGCTGCTATTTTTGCCAATGGTTGTGTGTGTGTGTGTGTGTGTGTGTGTGTGTGTGTGTGTATAAGTCCTTACAGTTTTACAATTTCCTGTAACAAGTAAAATTAGATGAATGTATTCAGTCAACAATCTCTATCTGAAACTATAGTGAGTTACCTTACCTGTCTTACATGATATTTCTGTTGATCTTTACTCTGTATTAGGTGTTGTACTTGAAGAACCTTAGCCCTCAGGTAACTGAAGCAGATCTTATCTCGTTGTTCGCTCGGTTCCAGGAGAAAAAAGGACCTCCAATTCAATTCCGAATGATGACTGGACGAATGAGAGGGCAGGCTTTTATCACCTTTCCCAGTAAGTGGCTTCATCTATATAATTACTTAGTTGCAGGATCAGTTCACTAGAGACTACCTTATGTGCTGCTTCTACTCTGCTGGCAGTGTGTTTTTTATAGTTTTGGCATTTCCTTCTGACCCTAACAAAATCCACTTTCCTTTCATTGAAGTAATAATTCTAGTCCAAGTTATAATTAGATTACTCATTAATATTTTGATATTCTGGACAGAACACATGTACTTGCCTTATGCCCTATTCTTTCAGAAATAAGTAACTGCAAGCTAATACACTGATTCATTCCTTATTCATAATTAGAAGATGATTAATACTGCCTTCTAAATAATTCCCTCAGTGTTGATACATGACTTCAGTATTCTAATACAAAGGGAAGAATAATATAGGAATTTCAGTTTCTTTGACCAAACAGTATGTCATTGCAGGGAGAGTGAATAAGATTTGTATCTTTCATTTTCCCTAAACTGTCTTGATTTATAAATAGCCTACCAGTCTGTGTGTAAGCAAGTAGTTATAGACAGGTACTATGAAATCCCCTCCTTCATTTTCATAAAGTCATATTAATTTTCCTATACTAATAAATATATGTTGATCCATTTACTAGTGGTTTTTAGCCTTCTGAAGTTTGAAGATCCCTTTTATGTGTAAAATAAATCCCCTGGACTCCAACATTATACATCCAGTAATTAACAAATTATATAATAAAAGGCTTTATAAACTACAATTAAAATGTAATATTACTTTGCTAATTCTAATAGCAGCTATTCCAATTTGAAAGTTTGTATATATATAAAACTAAAATTGCTTTAATTTAAAGATATCTTCGACTTATGAGTGCACAGATTCCTAGCCATAATACACCACTTCCTTTTTCTGCATCCAAACTGTGAAACGTATAAATTGGGTACTCATACTTCATACTATATATTTTTACACCTCAAGCTTCCATATGCTTCTGAAATTTATTTGATGGTGAGTTCTATCACAGCTTTCGCATGGAAAGAAAAAATTAGCAAAGTGTCCTAGGTAACATGACTATTCTTAGTTGTGTTACCTCTTTTGAAAATTTGCTTCTCATGGTATCTTTAACCTGCTGTCCAAGATAGAAGCATGTATCTATACACAAACATACACACACACACACGCATAATTATAGCTTAGACTTCTTTAGCAAAATGCCTTTGAGTTAGGAAATGCCCTCAAATATTCAATTTGAGCTTTTATTGTCATTCATCCTAATTATTAGTTTAATCTTGAGAAGTTACACAAATTGAAGATTATAGAAAAGATGACAAAAATCACATGATCATATGACCTGATAACCTACATTTGATTCCAGGGCAAAACAACCTAAACTAGACTTGGAATAGAATTGAATTTAATCCTGTATAAAATGATTTTTTTTCTTTTTCTTTTAGATAAGGAGGTAGCATGTCAAGCATTGCATCTGGTAAATGGATATAAACTGCGTGGGAAAATATTGGTAATAGAGTTTGGAAGGAACAAAAAACAACAATCAGATCTCCAACCTGCTACTCTCATATCATCTGCTACAGACATTACTACAGAAAACAATGTTAGCTAGAATATATTATCCATTTTAGGTTCTGAATGGTCTTCCTTGCATCACAAATTTGGATTTGGGATTTCTGTTTAAATATAAATTTGTTTGATGTTGAAAAAGAGAATGCTTAACAAAGAAAATGTTATTTGGGACAATTACTTTTGGCTTTTGAAGACAATTTGGAGAAAACATTTTATGTAATAAAAGACCATATAGAATAGAGGATATACTGAAGGCAAAGGGTGATGTACAAAAAGCATTATTTTCTCAGGATAAATTACAATGGATTTTTCCTGAGGATTTTTTACATCTTTATAATTGGGGAGATAGATTTCGTAGATATTTGTCCCTACAGATAACATTTTTTCAGTAACGTTTCCTATATACAGAACCGAAGAAGTTGTTAAAAATGATATATTTCTTTACTGGAACTCATATTTCCCTAATTTTATCCACCCAGTAAGTAAAAGAATACATCAACAGTTAAATCTTACATCTGAACTAGCAGCTGTAACAGTAGGTAGGGTCATAAATAGTCACCATATTTAATGAATGCTTCCCTATTAAGTAATCAGGGTTTGCAAAAGCTATATATTTTTCTAAGAAATTTTTAGATCAAAATATTTGTGTTCTCACAGCCATTTAAGTTAGCTACCACTGAGTAATCATTGAATTTAAAGCAATAATTTTTTGAAAACTGTGCTTAATACATGTTAAATAGAAGTTGTTATATGAATTTTAGAAGGGAAGCATACTAGCAAAGAATGCTAAAGGGACAAGGGAAGAAAGAATTTTCTAGAAAAAAGTAGACAGTCAAATCCTTTGGTAGTTTGTTAATGGTTGCTGAAGAATAGATGTGGTATCAAGGAAGAGGTTTAGAGTCAGACTTGTGTTTAAATTCACAGCCACACTCAATGCATTCAGCTTGGAAAATCACTTAATTTGAACCTCAGCTATCTATAAAATGAGGCTGATAATTAGTTATCCAATTATATTGTGAGGAATAAATGAGATTATATTTTCAAAGCTGAGGAACAGAAAGAATGAATGAATAAACTTGAACATAGTTCCATAAATAGTAGCTATAAATGCTCCAAATCTACACATTCTAAAAGCTAAGCAACCTCAACATAGGAAAAATTAAAAGAAATCCACAGACACAGTGAAATAAAAATGCTGAAATCCTAACACAAAGGGAAAAGCTTGACAGCATCACAAGAAAAATGAACCATCACTTATTAAGGAACTCCAACAATATTAACAGCTAATTTCTCATCCAAAAATGGTGATGGGGCAGTGATATATTCAAAGTACTCAAATAAAATAACTGTCAACCAAAAGTTACATATACACTAAAACCATTTTTCAAAAATGAAGGTGAAATAAAACATTTCCGTATTATCAGAAATTTGTCAGACCTGACTTAACAGCAGCTAATTAAGTTCTTCCGATTGAAAACAAGTGACCTCAGAGAGTAATTTAAATCTACACACACACACACATGCTAATACACACAGAGTACAGGCAAAAGCAGTCACCTAAACGTATGTTTCATTCATTAACTTATTTAAAAAGCAAATGTATAAAACAACATTTATATAGTTGCATTGCTTGGCCTATAACATACAAAAATGTAACATATTTGCCAGTAAAAGGAGGTAGATGGAAGTAATCTTGTAGTGTATTAAAGAACTAACCAGATGATAACTCAAATCCATAGGAATAAGTAAAGATAGCAGGAAATGGGAAATTACCATACAAGAACTGTAAATATAACCTTGCTCTTCTTTCTTAGCTTCTCTAACAGGCATAACATTATATTAAATATAATAATATACAAGAGGACTTCAAAAAGTTTGTGGAAATAGTTATAAATTTGGTGAAAAACTTCCTCCTAAAACCCATGTACAATTTTTCATAATACAACTTTTCTATGAACTATTTCAGGATCATTCATATTGTTAGGCTGATAATATATGTAGAAATCACATACAACAGTAATAGCAGACAAAGTAAATAGAGGAATGAAATTATGCAGGAACAAGATTTCTATGTAAGTTAGTATCTATGTAAAGCAGATTCAGTTTATTTAAGATATATGTGTGTGTGTGTGTCCTTAGAGCAGCCACTAAAGAAATAACTTTTAAAAACATTGAAGTGTTATGAAAGAAATTGAAATGTCACATTAGAAAATACTCAATGCAAAAGAAATAAAAGAAAGACTAGAGAAATGAAACTTGGGACATATAGAAAGTGAATAATAAAATAGCAATCATAAATTCCCACATCAGTGGTAACAGTGTGAACAGAGTAAGCAAGCAATTCAATCAAAAGAGAAATTGTCAATGTAGAAAATACCCAAAACTGTGCTATTTATCAAAGACACAGTTTGCATTGGAAAAAAATGGAGAGATTGGAGCTAAAAGAATGGAAAACAAATACATTATGCAAACAGCAATTATAAGTGAAGTAGCTGCAGACAAAATAATCTTGGATATGAGTAGACATTAAACTTGTACCTATTTATGGGCTGTTATGTGATATTTCATTACATGTATACATTGTGTATGTCCAGTCAGTGTAAATATATTTTTCTTTTCAAGCCTTTACTATTTCTGCATAGTGAGGACATCTTATATCATATATCCCAGGTTCTCTTTACAGAGAAATATGCAATATATTAACATTATATGTAGTCATCCTAATGTGAAAGAAAAAAAAAACAGAACTTCTTACTCTTATCTAGATATAACCTAGTAATCATTAAGTTAAACAGTGACATTTTATCTGGATAAAATGGCCTATTTATCAGGAAGATGTAGCAGTTATGAACATGTGTGCATACAACAGAGCCCTAAAATACATGGGAAAAAAAACTGAAATAAATGAAAGAAGAAATAGACACATCTGCAAAAAGTTGGGATATTCATACCCATTTTCAGTAACAACTATGTAGAGGACACAACGTGCACTATAAGCCAAATCTAAAGACATCTAGGGAACATTCCACCCAATAGCATTTGTATACATGTTATCAAGTACATATGAAACATCTCCAGCAAAGACCACATAAGCTAAATCATAAATAAACTTTAGTAAAACTAAGTGAACTAAAGCCAGGTACAGTATGTTTTCTGGCCATGTTGAGTGACAAAATAAATCATTAAATAGCAGAAAGTTGGGAGACAATGATTCAGAGGGTCAAATATGATATTACAGGTCCAGCACGGTAACCTAGTGACTGTTGCACAGTTCAATCCAGCTCCCAGCTTATGGCCTGGAGAAGCAGTGGAGGATGATGGCCCAAAGCATTGGGATCCTGCACCTGTGTGGGAGACAATGAAGAGGCTCCTGGATTCAGACCAACTTAGCTCCAGCCATTGTGGCCACTTGGGTGAATGAACCAGTGGATGGAAGATCTTTTTCCCTGTATCTCCTCCTCTCTTTATATCTGCCCTTCCAATAAATAAATAATTTTTTAAAAAAAGAATGATATCACAAGGGAATTTAGAAATCTTTTGAAATGAATGAAAATGAAGCCACAGTATGCTAAAAGCTATGGTGTGAGGTTAAACCAATGTATAGAGGGAAATTATAGATATAAATGCCTACTTTAAAAAGGAAAATTGTATAATAGCTTTGCATTACACCTAAGGCCTTGGAAAAAGAACATCTAATTAAACCTACAACAAGCAGAAGGAGGGAAACAGAAAAGGTTAGATGAGAAATAGAAAAACAGTGGAGAAAAATTGAAAAAACAAAAATTGATTCTGTAAAAAGATCAGCAAGACTGACAAATCTATTGCTATTCTGACCAAGTCAAAAAGCACTTAAATTACTGGAATTAGAAATGAAGGAGGGAATTTTGTAGGGACAAAAAGGATTATGCAGGAACGATGTGAACAATTATATGTCAATAAACTAAATAACCTAGGTGAAATGGACAAATCCTAAGAAAGATAAACCAAAGCCACTAAAAAAGAAAATCTAAAGAGACCAGTAATGATTATATGGGATAAATGAGTAATTTTTAAATTTTTAAAAAGAGGCAGGCATTTGGTGGCACTGGTTAAGACCCAACTTGAAATGCCACCATCCCATATCAGAGTACCTGAGTTTGAGTTCCAGCTCTGCTTCTGACTCCAGCTTCCTACTGTCAGGCACCCTGGGAGGCCACCCATGACAGCTCAAGTATTTGGGTCCCTGCCAAGCACACTGGGTACCTAGACTGAGTTCCAAGCTTTTGTTTCCCTTTTTTTTAATATGTATTTTTTTTTATTTGAAAGGCAGAGTTAGAGACAGAGAAGGAGACATACAGAAAAAGAGAAAGATCTATCTGCTGTTTGACTTCCCACATGGTCATAACAGCCAGAGCTAGGCTTGTCCAAACCCAGGAGCTAGGAGCTTCCTCCAAGTCTCCCATGAGGGTGCAAATCTTGGGCCATCCTCAGCTGCTTTCTCAGACCATTAGTAAGGACCAAGTGTCTGGTTTTAGTCTAGCACAGCCTTGGTTTGTTGCAGGCTTTTGGGGAGTGAACCAGTAGTTGAATCACCTCGCCCTTGTCTGTCTTTTGGATAAATAAGAATAAACTTTAAAACTAATATTTGAAGAAAAGTAATGGCTCAAATGCTTTCTTAGGTGAGTTTTACCAAATAAAAAGCACAAATTCTTAACAAATGATTTCAAAATTAGAACAGGGAATGGTTCTGACACAAATTAGAACCCCAAGACTATGTTTAAGGAAAGAAACCAGTCACAATAGGTGACATGCTTCCCTTTATACGAAGTGTACAGATTTGGCATATACGCAGAGAAATACATTAGTAGTTGCTTAGGACTAGAAAAGAACAAGGGGACTGGGATAAAATAGGGGTAACAAATGAAGTGTATGAAGTTTATAGAAGTTGATGGAAATCTGAAATGTAATAGTGAAGATTAAACAGCTAGGAGACTATAATAAAAACCATGAATTGTACATTTTGTTTACTTGAAAGAAGAGAGAAAGTAAGAGGCTAACCTTCCATCCCAATAGGTTAGAGAGGCATGATGGCTGGGGAGGGGCCAGGTTCCTGGTACAACATCCAAATCTCCCACATGGGTGACAAGGGCCTGAACTGAAAAACTAGCAGTGATTTCCCAGTCATGTTAGCAGGGAGCTAGATTGAATACATAGCAGGCGAGAATCCAGTTGGTGCTCTGATAAGGGTGCTGATGTTGCCAGTGATGGCAAAATACACTGCACCAGGGTACTGCCTCCCCAATTGTACATTTTAAATGAGTGAATTGTATATGAATTATATTGCAAAGCTGTCATAAAAAATAAATAAGGTGGAAATGCCAAATGTCCATTATTAGGAAATTGGGTGCATAACTTTAATTGTATGAATTTTAGTGTAATACCAATACTGTACAACTGTTAACATAGTAAAGAGTATCTACAAGTATATTCTGAATTACATTTATATGTAATATTTTGTATTAACTCGCAAATCAATGTGCAAAAATGTATAATCTGAATACATTTTTAAACAAAAGCTTTCATATATGCATGTGATTGTTTATAAAATATTTCAAATTAAATTTAGGAGAAAACTGGGAAGTAAACATTTTGAAGCTGAAATTAGACTTAAAGAGAACTTATATTCTGTATAATTTTAAGTTGGTGTGCTATGCAGTGTTTTTTTAAAAACTTCTTTCAATATATCTGAAATTTTTTTTAAAAATCTTGCAATGACTTGGCTTCCAGAATATTTGTCAGATGTACTTAGGGACTATCATTTGACCATACTCAGGAAAACAACTATTATTTTGATATACTGCTCACTTGGAATTAACTCTCTGATTTTAAAAATAGTTGAAGGGACAAGAAATAAATCATGTTGGTGTAACCTCTTGCACATATATCCATGGAACATAGCTCTATGCACTTTTCGGAAGGAACTGCTTCCTTTTTGGAGGAAACTCGTTTCTGCTCATTGCTAGGCCTACGATGCTATCAACAGAAAAAAAAATTAAAATGAAGAATATCCTTCAACTGGTGCATAGATACAGAAACTGTTAAGTTCATTCCATGAACTCCTTAATCAGCAATAAAAACTAATGAAATAAACATGCAACAACTGTGTTGATCGATTTTGAATGCATTTTTCCAAGAAGCCAGACTGAAAAGCTACTGATTACATTTGTGTAATTCTCGGGAAAGGCAAAGCAATAGGCATGAACAAGAGAAAAACCAGTGGATGTCAAAAGTTAAAGTTGGAGTACCCTTGGCTACAAAGTAGTAGCACAAGAGATTTATTTAAGTCAGGAAATGGTCTTTGTCATGTTTGCAATTGCTTAAGCATATGCATTTGTCAAAAAGACTTGTATATCAAAAAGAATGAATTTTGCTGGATGTAAAATTTTTAAATAAATTATGGAAGAAAGAAAAAGTTGACACGACAATCATTTCCCTTCAACAGTGTTTCTGTTCTGTGGTTTCTGGGTTACTGTTGAAAACTACGTTTCATTTTTCCTACTACTATGCTCCATTTTCTACCCACAGGTCAGCATGTTCAGTTAAAAATATCTGTCTAAAAAAATATCTGTATACACATGCAAACCCACTACATGCACACACACACACACACACACACACACACACACACGACTGGAAAATAAATTTAGTACAAATCAGAGGCTAAGATAAATTCTTTAAGATAAATTATATTTAATACTTTTAGTATAGTAGTCTCTGCTTATCTATAAGAGATATGTCCCAAGATGTCCGGTGGATATCTGAAGTGCTGGATAATACTCAAGCCTAAGTTTTTGCCTGATATGATCAACAGCATTGCACACATAGCAAAATTAATCTGTCCTTCCATGTTCGGTTCCTGATACCACCTTTGCATTACTACTCTGGTACTCTGGGACCATTGCAGGTTAACCCACTGCACCATAGTTCTGGTCCCAACTGGTACTATTAACTAAATTGTAGATCTTTGTTGTCCCACAAATGTCATTTTATGACTCAGGATCAATTCTAGGATCCTACATTGCATTTTCTGGTCGTGTATTCTTTTTTATTTGTGACCATCCTCAGGCTTGTTTTTGATGACTATAACAATGTTGAGAAGTCCTGATTGGTTGTTATAAATTGTTCCTAACTGGGATTTGTCTGATGTTTGGTGGGGATTACACTGAAGTATGGCATTCTTAGTAATTCTGTGGAAGTGATCCTATGTTCCTCTTGGAGGATCATATTAGGAAATAACATGTTATTAATTCTTAATACCATTGATGTTAATGTTCATCACTTGGATAAAGTGGTGCCTACTGGATCACTGTAAGGTTATAATTTTTCTCTTTACATTCACAAAATATGTTCTGGAAGATACATTGAAACCATTAAGAAGCCCTGTTTCTCATCAAATTTTTGTCCAGTAATTTTAACATTCATCATTGGTTCTTGATGGCAGCAATTGCTGTAATATTAGCCTAATGGTGATTGTGTTAGTTTGTGTTGTTATAACATCTTAGACTGGGTAGTTTATAGGAAACAAAAGCTTACTTCTTGTAGCTCTGGAGGTTAGGAAATCCAAGGTCCAGGTGTCAATGCATTTGATGTCAGAGACAGTCGGATCTTTGCTTTCCAAGATGTTAGTTTGTTACATCCTCTCAGGGGAAGAACATCAATGTCCTCAAAACCCCAAGGGGACAAAGTAGGCGAAGGCAGAGACAGCTCCCCTAAGTCCCTTTTGTAAAATCATTAATTTTATGCATGAGGGCTGTGCCCTTCAGACTTAACTGCCTCCTAAAAGCCCCACCTCTTTATGTTAACACATTTACAATTAAGTTTCAACATAGGAATTTTGGTGTATGCATTCAGATCATAGCAATGATCATAGCAATGATTCTCTATTTCATCCTGTACAAACTGAAATTCTATATGACATGTTCTGTCTTCCATTTTATATTGTCATATTGTCATAGATGTTGGCAATATGCT